CTCCTTTTCTTGCCTGACACAGAGAGATGCTCTCGTGCCTTGACTAATTACTGGCTGATTGACAGGTACTCAAGATCCAGGCCTCTGGGTCCAGTTCTTCTTGGATACCTGGTCCCATCCACACCTGGGCTTTTTAATGATAGGTAGATGAAGTGGAGCCAATTCATCCTCTGTGTGTGTGTTTGTGTTTGAACCCAGAGCCTTGCATATGCTAGTCAAGAGTTCTACTACTGAGCGACATCCCAAACACATTTTATTTTATTTTATTTTGAGTCAAAGTCTTGATAATTTGCCCAAGTTGGCCTAAAACTTGAAATCTTATTGCCTCAGCCTCCAGAGTAGCTGAGATACCAGACATGCAGCATGAGGCCTGGCAATTGTATGCTGTTTTTCTTGCTTCCTTTTTCAAGTTGGAGTTTTTTTTTCCTTTAAGTATATTGTTATTCTCTCTTCCCTTCCATTGTGAATCGTGTGTCCAAAACAGTCATTATAGGGAACTGTCATGAACTGTGTCCTTCCAGATTCATGCTGAACCTCTAGCCCTCTGTACCTCAGAAGGTAACTATTTGTACATAAGGTCTTTCATGAAATAACTAAGTTAGAACGAAGTTATCAGCGTGGGCCCTAAGCTAATCTGACGGGTATCCTCAGAAGAAGAGGAACTGTGACCACAGATACGGATGTTTTCAGGGGGATACCCAGGTGAGGACATGGATGGAGGAGTGGCCTCAGAACGTCCAGCTGGGCCAGCTCCTGAGCTTGGACTTGTATCTCCAAGACTTTGAGGAAATACATTTTTGTGGTTGGAGCTACTTGATGAGTGGCATTTGTTATAGCAGCCACAGGATAGCAGGCCACCCCCACAGAGGACATGTGTGCGGGTCAGGCATGGGACAGGGGCGGCCACAGCCCTGGGCTTGGCGCTGGGAGGCAGCTCAGCAGCTGACGAGCCATCTCTCCTCTGGTGAGGAGGCAGAGGCATTTTTTGCTATAAGTCGTACAGTTACGGATTTGGGGCAGGAGCATTGTAGGAACTGTGTATGGGAAAGAAGTGAGTATGTGGATGGAGGGCCATGAGGAAAGGAAAACACAGTCCCTAAGCAACACTGGGTCTGTCAGGTTGCCCCTTCCCCCTGCTTAGTCTGTTGAGTTCGGGTGCGATTGGTGTCCCCTACCCTGCCTGCATCTCCTGGGGAGATGACTGAGGCCTGGGCAGCAAGCGTGATCATCAGGACAGTCGTTGGAATAATCTGGAAGAAAGGAATGGTTCAGTACTTGTAGAATGTAAACCAGGAACTTCTGGTTACCAACTGCCTACTGTATTCATTAACAATCGATGCAACTCAGACCAAAGCAGAAACAAGAAACAGAAAAATAGAGAGGGCCTAGATAACATCTTTTTAAAACAAATTTTATTTTTTATTTTTTTCTAGATAACATCCTTTAAGGCTCTAGATCTAGCAGTGGCTGAAGCCAGAATCACTTCTGGAACCTTCTGGGTATGTGAATTAATGTGTTCCCTTAAATATGCACATACCCACCCCCACCCATGCCAAGTTTGATTAAAGCCAGAGTTTCTGTTTCTTGCTACCACGAATCCTGGCTGACCTGGTTACAGTCTGAGCGTGAGGCAGGTCAACAGCAGCACGAAGCAGAGATGGTTGCTATGGGCGGTGGCACTGGATTGACGCTCGATGACAGCAGGAAACTTTGGAGGGGAATGATGGAAATGTTCTTTCAGGAGCTGAAAACACCCTGTGTATTGATTCAGTGATATATGGGCATAAAAACGCTGGTCAAAGATCACTGAACTGTACATTAAGTGGGTGCCTTTTGTGTGTTGATTAAATTAACTACAAAGACTTTTAAACAAATCTGCCCAAGTAGGTGAGCCTGCCTTTGAATTGCCAGGAAACTCTGAGCTGGCCGTCTGAGTCATCACAGCAGTTTTTCCATGAGTTTTAATTTTGTGAACTGTACCCTGTTATTGCCAACTTCATCTTGCAAGTCTCTCCTGGCATAAGATATTGCTCTTTTTGTAGTTGTGTTCTTGGTGGGTTTGATTTGGGATGCTCTCTGAAAGGTTTGCCTTGCTTTCTGGGCCAGTCACCGACAAGCCGAAGGACACATTTCCCCAGCCTGGGCTCCTCCTGGGACAGTGACTGGGTGAGTCCATCTCTCCACCCACCACCTCCTCAACGCTCCCACGATTCCTGGGAAGGAGGAATTGTCTTGGCTGAAGATTCTGAAGCAAGGGTGCAGATACGAATAGCTCTTGAGCTTAAATTTTCTGGCATAGACTAGGAATCCCAAGTTATCTGAAAACCACAGCTGGCAGGACATCCTGGAGAGCTGGGCTGATGCCAGAGGCATCTGTGCTTTGGCCGGGATGGAGGATGGAAAAAAGAGAGGCCTGGGCCTGCAGGCCACTTGCTGTCTCCTGAGCATCTACCTCATGTTCTCACTTAGCTTCTTCTGCGGAGCCAGAAACGGAACCACTTCCTCCTTTGGTCTTGATAAATTGTGGACACCACCCGGGCCTGTTTGGGTTGACCTGGGGCTGTGATGGGCACATTCACTCCATCAGCTCCCTGAGTCTAATCTCAGTGCTTTGCTGATGTGACTCATGGGCAGAGGCCTGAGCTGTCAGGACCACAGGTGGCCACCACGGGGAGGCTTGGGGTGTTGACATGAGGCTCCAACCAGGACCAGACCGGGGTGACTGCACTTGGACAAGAAACCCTCTTTATGAGAACTGAATTCCATAGCTGGCACTAACAGGTGCTGCCTGGGTGCCTGGCCAGGGCCCTCAGGCATGCTGGGCACAGCCCGCAGCACTTTATGCAACTCTGTGAGGTCTGTGGAGTAGTATATGAGGAAACCGAGACACAGCAAGACTCAGGTCACAGCAGCGCAGCAGTCCTCTGCCTCCCTGGGGCTTGCTCTTGACTTTCCAAATTTGGCCTTGTTTATCGCTTGCATGATCCAGAAGAGTGTGCGTTTCTTCTTGTTTATTTTTGTAGAGCTAGCGTGCGGCAGGAAGTAAGAGAAGCATAGGGTGCTGCCCTGCCCTGTGCCCTGCACCTCCCTCCATGTCATGTCCTGGTAGAAAGTTGGGCTCAGTAATAACCAGCCCAGCCCAGCCCAGCCCAGCCCAGCCCAGCCCAGCAGCTCCTTAATAGGACTTGCAGCCTCCACTATGTTACTGAGAGAGGCTTTGCTCCAGGGTTTCAGATCTGCAGTACTTAGGTACCCCAAATGTCCAGAAGGAAGGAGGCTAGGGGTCCACAGGAAGCCAGTCGTGCTGCCAGGCGGTGGGGCAGGGTGGGGGATGGGTGTGGACAGCTGGGGCACACATGAGGCCCCTGTAGCCAGCTCCTCCCTAGCCCACTTTAAGGATGAAATATTTCAGAAGGAGAGAGGAAAGTGGCCCTCGGTTTCTGTTCATTTAGCTCTGGAGCTCTCTGGCCTCCTTTAGCACAAAATGTGGGGGTGGACGCCGGGAAGGACAAAAAGGCCACTCCCTTGATGGACAGTGATCTGCACAGCAGAAAGGTCCAGAAGGGCCCTGGAGAGGCCAATCCCTGGAGCTCACCACCCCCCTCTACCTCAGCACCCCGATGGCAGGTGCCTCCGACAGCCCCATCCTCACCTCCAGGCCCTGCCCTAGTTCTAAGCCACTATGGGCGGACTAAAGGCAGGAGGTCCCTTGTTCCCACAGTGGACTCAGGGCTGGAGGCCTGGGGGTTCCTAAGAAGGAGGTGACTTCCCAGGAACTGAGATGCATGGGCCCTGGGCAGCTAGGACACCCGGTGGCCCCTCAGCCGCCTTCAGAGCTGCGAGGTGTTTCTGCAAGGCTGGAGACCACCACGTCCAAGCCCTTGTCTCTGGCATTCTCTGAGCAGCACTGGGGAGGCCAGGAAAATCGGGCATGGGACAGGTGGCTCGTCCAGGCACTGGGCATGGGACAGGTGGCACTGGCAAACTGTCATCACCCGAAGCTCCTGGAACCAGCACCTCCATCTGAGCCCACAGGGTCCTTGTTCTCACTGAGCAGAGGCCTTGCTGGGAGGGCCAGCTGGGACTATTAGAAACCAGAGCACAGAAAGGCTGTGGCCTGGAGTGGACAGGAGGGACAAGTCAGGCTGGCTGGGCGATGGGACATCAGGGCCATGGATTTGGACCCCTGCCTTGGAACCACGTTATGCAGGGCAAGGCTGGGCAGGCTCAAGGAGTCCGGGCTGCATGCCAGGCGCCGGACAGACAGGGATGCTGCTTATACCTTCCCTGCCCTCCTTGCCCTCTCCAGGCTCTCCCCAGGGACAGGCCCAGCTCCATCAGCCTCTGTCCCGGCCTCTACCCAATAACTTCCCCCAAAGGGGCTGGGAACCTGTCCCAAATTGGACAGCAGGTACCCAGGATAGGCCTCTGTGGGGCTGAGCAGAGGCGGGGGGCTGTCAGAAACCTTGCTGGCCCAGGCCCAGACTGGGAGGGCTCCCAGCCTATTAATGGCGTATAGAGAGGTGTCCAGGCACAGGGGCCAGCCTGTGCTCAGGGGCTGCAGGACAGAGAGGTAACAGAGAGTCAGCTACCTGCTCCAGGCAGCCCTTGTGGGCTCTGTGTCCTTTGTAGGATGGAATCAGCCACTACAGAGCTGGGCGTGGAGATGAGAACTAAGGTTCCTGGGATGGGGGCTCAGGGACATAAGCCAATAGAGGACAACCTAGGGACCATCACTCCCTCCGGCACAGGAATGGACGGCCACCAGGAAAGTGGGGAGGCAGGACTAGGTGTAGGCAGAACCAATTGGAGAGGGAGGAATGCTGGAGGTGTGGGCACAGCCAGCCAGAGGAGGCAGCCTCAGAGCTCAGGAAAAGAGCAGATGGCTTGGGAGAGCTGGTGGGGAGGGGCTGCCCACCCCGGGCTCCTGCTGTCCTCAGCCGTGCTCACCGAGAGAGAGCACAGAGCGGGTGTGTGCGGTAAGCTGCCTCACCACCAGGTAGAAGATGTTTATTGATATACATTTTATTGCCTTTTATAAAACTTCCTTTGGCAACACAGGGTCACTGTGCCTATTGATGGGCACCATAGTGCCAGTCCTCAGGTGGGCAAGGTAGAGCCAGAGCCCATTTTCAGGTGGGTGCCGGAGCTGAAGCACTCTGTCCAGGAGCTGCCCAGATGGTCCACAGTGGCCTAGGGGACACACAGAGTGCCCAGGATGGGCCAAGCACAGAGGCAGGAAGGCAGTCAGCAACCCAAGACATCCAAAGAGTCCTGTCTCCAGCAGTCCGGTGGGGCCAGTCGTTCCCCTATTAAGTCACCAAATGACTCAGCAAGAGTACCCGGATGTTGTTTCTGGAAAGACTTGGTTACAAGGCAGGTTAACAGGACCCTTTGCCTGAAAGCACCACGCCCTGTGGGTTTGCTCTGATGGTGCCTTGTAGGGATGAACACCCTTGTCCCATGGGGGTGGCACTGGCTGGGTCACCTTCAAGGAGGGTGGACAGGGCTGGGTGACTATGTCTTCTCCCTTACTGACCAGGCTGGGGCACAAGGAACCTCAACCCATGCGGCAACTCTGGTACCGTGGGTCACTGAAACAGAGTGGCTGGTGGGCACAGGGCCACTGGTTCTCTTTGCAGGTGGCTGCTCAGCCTCCCAGTCACTGCTGGAGCCTGCAGCCCAGGGAGAAGGAGGCACAAGGGGCTGGAGACAGACCTTTCCCCTCTACCTGGGCACGGTGGCCGCTGCCCTGTTTCTGTCCTCAGCAGAGCATCTCTGGAGGCCACTGGTCACTCCCTGCCAATCCTGCCCCATGTGCTGGCCACTCAGGAGGCGTTCCCAGAGGGGCACTGCATCTCCATGGTGACTGTGTTGGGCGTGCTGCCCGCGGCCTCCCCCAGCTCTGCGCCATCCCGCAGGGCCCGCTGGAAGACCACCCTGAGAGGTTCCCACAGCCTCTGTGACTTGTCCCTCCCAGCCAGGAAGTAGACAATGGGCTTGGCACAGCTGTTGATGCAGATGCAGAGGTCGGTGACATACTCAGGGAAGGGGGCCGGGATCAGGAAGACCCAGAAGAGAAACCAGTCAATCCCCAAGTAGATGGAGGACACAAGGAAGACAGAGATGATGGCCAGGATGACATGGTTGAGCTTGGCAGACCGCTGGCGCTGCCGCACACGACACTCCACATGCAGGATGAGGGCCAGGCAGGGCAGCACCATGAGTGGGCAGAAGAGGAGGAAGAGCAGGATGCCCAGGGAGATGTCCATGTGCCTGCAGGTCGCCCTGGAGGCCTCGCGGCCCAGGAACACACAGAAGTAGTTGTGAATGCCAGTGACCAGGAGGGACAGGAGCCAGAGCAGGGTGCACACCACGGCTGACAGGTGCCTGGGCCGCTGGCGCCAGTACCAGGAGGGAAAGATGACTGACACGCAGCGCTCTGTGCTGATGGCAGGCAGGAGGCTCACGCTGGTGACAAACATGCAGAGCCCCAGGATCCGGCATACGCTGCGGACGTAGTCGGCAAAGGGGCCCAGGAAGCCGCCTGTGTTCAGCAGGGAGAACACGGCCTTGCTGAACAGGTAGACGCCGTCGGCGCTGGCCAGGTGCAGGAAATAGATGGAAAACGGGGTCCTCTTGATGGAGAAGCCGAAGAACCAGAGGACCAGCCCATTTCCCACCAGGCCACACAGGCAAAGCAGCAGGAAAATGTAGTCCATGATGGCCGGGGGTGGTGGCTTGACGATCTGCTCAATGGTCAGGAAGCCTCGACTGTAGAATTCTGAGGCGTCGTCTCCACCCGGACACATCTGTGCAGGTGCAGAAGAGAGACACCTGGTGATGCGGCTGCCCCTCCCTGCCCCCACCAGGCCTGCATCTGCAGCTGGGCCTGGTGGTCCCCATTATATGCATGTGGGCGGGGTCTGTAGGGTCACTGACTGTGGCCAAGCAGAAAACCAAAGAGACAGGACTAATGAATCCAATGTTATATACTGGACCTAAGCAACTGCTGCCAAAGGGTGGCAGGCCCACAGGAGAAGGTGAGCAGGGACTATGTGTAGACAATGGCATCACATCCACATTACATTGTTGGAACGCGGAAATGGACTCAGGCTGTGCGTGAGGATGTCCTTGTTCTCAGATTTGGGCTATTTGAGGTAAAGGAGCTTGGTGCCTGTGATTCATTTTTAAGTGATTCTAGAAAAAAGTTCTGTGTAGCAAATGATACATAGAAAGTGCAGGCGGGGAAAGGTAGACAACAAGTGAAGGGATGTGAAGGGTGGAGGAATTTTCACCTCTCGTTTTTGAAAGTTAATTGCAAATTATTCTTTCAGTGTTTCAAAACAAAACCACAGAACATTTACTTCTAAAGAAATAGCCAATCAGGCATGGTGATTCATGCCTATAATCCCAGCTACTCAGGAGGCTGAGACAGGAGGACTGCCAGTTTGAGCCTAGCCTGGACAATTTAGCAAGATGCTATCTGAAGATAAAAAGGGTTGGGGATGTAGTTCAGCACTCGCTGCGTTCAGTCCCCAATACCACCAGAAAAGAAAATGACTGGTCACAGCTAGAGTAGGACTCTGTCTCATAGTAGGATCAGAGAGAAATGGGATCAGAGGCAGTGTCAGGATTCTGGATTGTGGGAAGGCCTGGCGGGTGGGGGTGAGGGAAAGGCTTGTGACATCTGCTATTCATCCAGACATAGGAAACTGTAAAAGTGAAACCCAGCTGAACGCCATTCCTGCCTGCAGGGTCTGGACAGGTGTGTAAAGGCACGAAGCTTGGCCAGGGGCCAGAAACTGGCAAGTAGTAGGCATAGTGATCGAGCCAAGAGCGCCCACCCAGAACAAGGTGGGCACCCTGCTTTGCTCTGGTGGGTGGGTGCCGGGGGTACTCCCTGCTCCCCACAGTGATCAGGACTCTACTTTGTGATGTGCAGTGTCCTGATCTTTCAGTGCTAACGTTTGAAAGACACTGCAGGCAAACACAACCCATCTCCGTTCCATTCTCAGGGTTGTTTCAGCCCTCTTATTCCTCATGGCAAAGGCTGCCCGGAGCACAGAACTGCCCTTCCCACACCCCTGCAGACAACACTAATCCATCCGGCCCTTGCTCCCTAAGGATGATCTATTTCCATTGCTCAGGGCTCTTCAGCAAAACAAATGGAAAGGAAAACACTCGCACATGCACATGTACACAGAAGGTTCCAGAGGCACGATCCTTTCTGCTGCCTTCAGAAGGCTCCTGCAGAAAGCTGGCCCTGAGAAACAGCTCTTTGTCTGGGATCATTTGGCCTGGCTCAGGTCAAGGGGATCCATACATAGGAACTGGAGATGCTGGCTACACACTGGGGACACTCCACTGTTCGGGATGAGCTTTTTATGGGGTTCTGCTCACCACCTGTCATCCTCCAAACACATTCATCAGCCAACATCTCTGCCTCTGTTGATTCCCCAAATCCAGTTGCTTAACTTGCTCTCTGCTTTCTTTCCAGGGCCTTAGGGGTTTGACTATTCCAGGACTCTGGGGCTCCACTAGGTGGGGACAGACCCTGGGGAGGGAGCAAGATGGCAGAGCACTCTAGGGCTCTCTCAGGCTGGCAAAAGCCTGCAATCGCATCCTGCAGAGGAGAGAGAGGCTGGGTGAGTCACTGGGCGGGGGCTGCTATTCCCAGACACACACTGCCTTGTAAAACACCCACTCTCGAGCCTGCCCGCTCCCTGATCGCGCTGGCTCTGCTCTGGGGGCTTCTGGAGATGACCCCCATTGCATCCAACCTCTGCCTCCCAGGCTGGGCTCCCCTCATTCCACAGTGGACACCCTGGGGAAGAAAGAGTCAAGGGTATGGGGTGGGGAATCCTGGGGGTTGGGCAGAATCCAGTTACCAGGGTGATGTAAGCCTTAAGGTCAAAGAAATTGGAATAGGTACATCTCAGGGATCCTTTCAACCTGAGCGCTCTGCTAGGACTCAGAAGGGAATTCTTGACTCCTCTGCGGGTTCAGAGAAGTAGTGAGTGGAGACAAGGAGGGCGGGAGGCAGGGTCACCCTGGACCCTGTGTCTCAGGCAGGGCTGGCGCCTGCAGAGGAATGTGAACCCATGACTAACGGGGAGCCCACAGTGGGTACGGCTCTGGGAGCTCACGCCATCAGGACCAACTCTGAGGCAGCATCCAGAGCTTCCCGGCAGGGCCTGGCCATAGTGAATAGCCAACTGCCCACCCCTAAAGGGAAGGACAAGATCAGACCATTCATGGCTGGTAAAAGATGATGAGGGACAGCATGGGAGGGGACTTCCAGGGTGGCCAATGTCCAAGCTTGCTTCACGAACAAGGATACTGGATCTGCAAGTAATCAGGAGCAGAACACATGGTCCAGAGCTGGAGGGTAGGGTTAGGGAGGCAGGAAGAGGATACTCGGCTTGGTCTGTTCCTCCTACTGTACTCCTCAGGCAGCCCAGGGACCCCTCTGCCTTGTGACACTTGCCTTGTTCCCGTTGGTGGGATGGGCTTCCCAGGAACAGTTTCCAGCCATCTTCAGGCCTGGTGAGTCCAGATCGCTGCTCACGGCTCACCAGCCTGCGCACCCACCTGGCAAGAGTGCAAAGAGGATGGAATGAGGGTCCCATCTCTACCCGATCCCTGACCCCAGGGCTTTCTGCGCCTGTGGCTGTCACCTTAGAGGAAAGGCAATCCCCTTCTCCTTCCAAGCCCAGGGCTTTATGGGACTGTCCAATTGGGATCTGCAGCAGGTCACCCTGGGGCACAGCCCTCTCTTGGCTGTGCACCCCTCATTTTGACCCTTGCTGGCCCTTTGGAGCCCCATGGCCAATCACTGGAAAGCTTTCTTCTCACTTGATTTGCAAGGTTTGGGAAGCCAGACTGCTTCTGTCCACACACATGTATTTGCCCCTGTTCTACCCACATATGTCTTGAGCTCAGTCCTTGTGTCCTGGCCCAGTATAAAGCAGGGTTCCAGCAGTCTGTCCCAGCAGTGGGTGGTAGTGGAGGAAGGCAGATCATTTTTGGCAGAGGGGACTTCCTGGAGGAGGAGGCCTTTGTCTGGGCCTCTGTTCTGTAACATGCTAAAGCATCTAGTCTCTCTCCCCTCCTACAGGTGCTTGGAAGACAGGTCCACCCAGCCATCTGGATCGTTGTCATTAGCACCAAGCCTAGGACCAGCCAGTGCCAGCTGAGCACCTGCCTGACCACTTCTACCCATCCTCAAGTGAGGCCCTCTCACCGGCCATGGGGTGCATGAGGCTCAGGCAGGGAGGTCACTTGCCCAGAGGCACATTCACAATCTGTGCATTCTCAAGACAGTTGTAGGGCGCCGGGATATATCTCAGCGGTACAGCACCTGCCTGGCAAGTGCCAGGCCCTGGGTTTGATTCCCGGTAGCAAAATAAAAGACGGTTGTAGGTAGCAAGTCTGGAGGACCACAGCGGCCCTGGCTCCAGGCTGAGAGAGGGGAAACTGGCCTGCAGGGAGGCCTGGGAGGGGTGACCAGCTGGGGAGAGGGCGACCCTGCAACTTGCTGCTCGCCGGTCCTCCCACCTGGGTCTCCTGAAATTCCTCACCGAGCAGGTGGGGGAAACTGAGGCTGTGTGCACAAGAAGCACAGGGCACAGCCCGCCACACGGTGCTGGGCCAACCCCCCACCCGCGAAAGAGTGCGGAGCAAGCGAGTTCGCTCCACTCCCCCAAATTCCTTCTCCTGTCTAGCCCGCTGCCTCCTCCCGTCCGGGGGCGGGGCCGTGGCAGCCGCGCCTGTCATTGGCTGCAAGCGGTGTCTGTCCTCGACAGTAACCCGCCTCCTCTTTAACCCTTGGCCTCCTGGAGCTGGGGGCTCCAGTGCAGCTGGAGGGGCCTAGGCAGGGTCGGGGTCTTGGAGGACCCAGCGTCGTCCCTGATCCCCTCCCATCTGGAGACTCGCTGCCTTCCTGCCCTCTGGCTCCCTGGTGCACCTCTGGGTGGTGTGCAGCCCTGCACCTTCAGGGCGTTTGCACCCCTCTGTGCTCCTGTGTGCAGTGAGCTTGAGGATCGCTCTGTCATGGAGTGTGGGTCTTTATTCTTCCCGCACTCCCTCAGCCATCTTGACTCTGGTTGGGCCACTGTCCCCTGGCCAGGTACACAGTGCTTCCTGCTCCATGGGACTGGCTCAAGCCTTCCCAGTACCCTACACCCCCAGATCCCACTGGCTGCAGGTTGGCATCCCCCATCACCCCCACTGCTCTCACTCTTCTTGGTATCCCTTCCTGAAGCCCACCAGCCCAAGGTTTGGGCCCCAAGCTTTGCTTGCAGGACTGCGGGACTCAGGAAGGCCCCTTACCCCAGCCAGGCTAGACCCCGACTATAGGCACCCCTAGGGTAAAGGGCTGCCCAGCCCTCCCCAAAGTGGGCACCCATTAGAGGGCCCTGCTCACCTTTTCGATCAGTTTGATCTGTGTTTCTGTATCCTGGTCCTTGTCCTGCCGGAGACAGCCTGAAAAGATTTCACTCCTGCACAGAGATGTAGAAGCCAAGCGGACCCCAGATGGGCTGTATTAAAGACATGTGTGTGACGTGTACGGGATGCGTGTGCTCCTCCAAGGGGATCAGGGCTGTGACAGTGCTGGCTCCCTCTAAAGCTGACCGACAAGGCTGCCTCCTCCATCCCCTCCCACAAACCAAGGGTGGCACAGCCACCTCGCCTCCTCCTCCTCCTCCTCCCCCTCCGGCATCACCTCGTTCACCCCCACCCTCCACAACCCAACCCTTCTCCTCACTCCCACCCTGTGGCCATCTGGGCAGGCTGGGCCTGAGGCCACTGGCCGTGGGAGATGCCTGTCCGCTGCTCCCCCGGACTCATAGCGAACCTGTGTTCTCTCACTCTAGGTCCCAGGTCCCTGTTCACAACACGGATGGAAAAGGACCAAGACCTGGCCAGCAAACAGTCTCATCAGCTGCCAGCCCCGCATCAGCGCAGCCAGCCAGGGAAAACATGGGACCACAGCTGCCCAGCGTCCCGGGGCTGTCCAGGCGGATCCTCAAGTGTCCGTCTGGGGCTGTCTCTGCTGCCGTCCTGAGCCGAGCAGGGCTCAGCCCGCGTGGAAGTGGGAATGCGTGAGAGTGATGGGAGCCGCTCCCCAGGCTTGGGATGCTGCCTGCTGGGTGTTCCCTTGCAGGCTTTCCAGAAAGCACACTTGGAAGTGAAGTTAGGGGAGGGACAGCGGAGCCTCCACCCCCAGGAGGACAGGCAGGGACTGGCCCTGGAGGACAGCTAGGGGCTGAGGAGAAGCCAGGTGGGGAGGGGGTCAGGGCTTGCCACCCAGGAAGGGGACTCTCAAAGTCCCCCAATGCCTTTGGGAGTCCTAGGGGCTCAGGAGTGGCAGAAGTCTTCTGGGAGGTGACAGCCCTGCTCTTCGGGGGTTCCTGCTTTTGGAGAGGTGGGACTTCTGTTAGCTGCCTGCCCCAATAGTGCCCGCTCCCTGCCCTGACAATATTCACCTCATTTTTCTGCCCTGCCTAGCCTTCACCCTGCACTGCCACCCCAGCATGGCCCTCCCCTGGTCCTGGGCCCCAGGGAGCTACCTGCGGCTGTCCTGGTCCGAGGAGGCCTTCCCTGTGGAGGGCTCCTCTCGGGACTCCTGGTACTTGACCCACCAGGGCAGCAGGCCAGTCCAAGTACTGCCTAGAGCCCCGGAAAAATGAGAGGGAGCTTGGGGTGGAGGACAAGCCCTCCCTGCAGGAGGAGAAGGCTTTGGAAGCAGAACACGCCCCAAACCCAATTCCAAGCGCGGCAGGAGGGGGAGGGCAAAGGAGGAGGAGAAGGGGCTGAGCCTGATGAGGCTTCAGGAAGGAATGCCCCGCTCGGCACCCCCCACTGGGAACTCATCTCTTCGCTTGGAGACACTGCATTGGCCTGGACGCTGCAGCCCGAGTCTAGCAGTTAATGTGCACATCCTGCTGCTCCGAGAGGCCGCCCCATAGAGGGAGCCCTGGGCTGTCCACTTTCCTGATGCCTTTGCTGTTCTCCCCACTGGGCGGTTTGGGGCTGGGCTGGAGGGGCCATCTCCACCCTGTTGTTTCCATGGACGAGGGGCTGATACTGGGAAACCGAGAAGCAGCAGCCGAGGGCTCTGTGGGGGTTGGTGCAGAATTGGCACAGGGACAGCGGCAGCACCCAACGCACCCTACCCTTTCTTCCCACCCCGAACCTGCCTGGGACCCCCCGTGCTTATGCAACCAGGAATTCCCTTTCTTCAGCCCTAATAGCAGTCAGATGGTGCAAGTGGAAAATCACAGTGCTTGCCTGGCCCAAGCAGGCAAGTTGGCGGCCGCGGTGCCTGGTGCCTGGAGCGTGTGCGCTGCTCCGTGGAGGATGAGTCAGTCTCCCCATCCAGGGGTCCTGGAACGAGTTAGTGGCCGGGGCATGGAGCCTGGCCCTGAGGCGCAGGGGGAGGGGGGAGCGGGGCGGGGCAGGGTGCAGGACCCAGGGCTGTGGCCTTGAGCGTGGGGTGGGGAGCTACCCAAGAAAGGGCCCTCCCTCCCTGGGCCAACTTTCTCATGACCCAGGAGCTGGAGGGAATTCCACACTTTCCCTGTGGGAGCAAATGGTGCCCAGATTGGGGGAGGGGTGCCTCCGGGAGCATCTCGCAGAGAGTGCGGAAATAGCCCTTCCCTGCACCTGCCTGCAGCCTCCTGCCTCTGCCTGTGGAGGGTCCCTGCCCTGCCCAAACACCCAAGAGCAAGAGGGAGCCCTGGACTGTTGCCTACACAGCCCAGCTGGGGATTTCTGAGGGGAGGGGGCTCTGGGATGCTGAAGGCTGCGGGCCACTCCCTGCGGAGAGAGGCTGGCCTGGAGGCAGGGAGGGTGGTGACCAACTGGCCACCTCCCCTGGACGCAGGCAGCTGGGGCCCAGCTGGACTGCTTGTTTACACCGGGAGGCCGGGGGAGGCCGAGTCTAGCCTAGTTCCAAGTTTAATTGGATTTGGACACTTAAAAGGAATTGTGTGAAGTGGGCAGTGGCTCTGGAGTCCACTGCCTTATTTGGTGTGGAAATTTGTTTCTCTCAAAACAAGAGAGAGGTGCTTATAAGTGGGAACGTAGTTGTCCTTTGCCGGAGCTGGTAGAGTCCTTGCCACTGTCTGGGTCCATTTGGGTGGCTGTGAACAGAAAAACCACTGCCTGAGGCCGGAGCTTATAAACCCCAGGAACGTATGCCTCACCGTGCTGAGGGCTGACGGCCCAGAGCATGGAACTGGCAGATTTGGTGGCGGGAGAGGCCCCCTGCGTGGCTTGCAGATGGCATCTTCTTGCTGTGTTCTCGCATGGGGGGAGGAGCTAGGAACTCTCTGCAGTTCCTTTTATCAGGGCGCTAACCCCACTCATGAGGGCGGCACCCTTGCAATCTAATCACCCCTCAAACACCCCTTTCTGGGGCTGGGAATTTAGCTCAGCAGCAAAGCGCCTCCCTGGAAAGCGCAAGGTCATGAGTTCAATTCCTGGTACCTGAAGAAAAACAAACAGACAATCAAACACCCGCTTCTGACACCATCATCTTGAGGATTTCAACATGTGGATTTTGGGAGGCGCACAAATACACAGTCCACACCAGACACTGTGTGGAGTCACACAGCCACGATGAAGCTGGGGCCCTGAGGCCAGGCTGCTGCAGGGACAGCAGAGGGAGCCCCCGGCTGGCAGGTGGGAGTGTGTCACTCATTCGCTCGCTCACTCACTGGGGCTCGGGGCTCAGCTCTGAGGTGACCTGCTCAGGTGGCCACTGACACATGATCCCTGCTCTTCAGCATTCACATTGTGTCCCCCTGCTCTGCATGGCTACCACCAGCCATCAGGTATCCTCCACTGCCCCTCCCTGAAGAAAATAACATCAGTTGTGCCCTGTCAGGGGCCTCACAGGTGGACTCAGATGTCTGCATCTCTCCCTGTAACCTCTCCCTTGAGTGTAGGCCTGGACCTTCCTCTGCTAGGGTCCCCGGGGGTGGCAGGCTGGTTCTGAGCAGAGCAGTCTCTGCCAGGTCCTGGGGTCAGTGGTTGCCACAATATCCACATCTGTGAGCTCTGCCTGTGAGTCCAGGTAGATCCATATCACTGACCATCTCGTATATCTAGGGAGCGGCGGGATGTATGTCTGAAATTCTGTCCCCGGATCTTCAGAGCCACCCCTTACTGAGTCTGTAGGGTGACATCTATCCACATTCAGGTGGTGTCTTGCAGACCCACATGTAGAACAGGTGTGAAGTGTCTCTTCTGTAGTCCCTGGTCAGAAGCAGCTCCCTGTGACATCATGTGGATGGACCATGGGTGAGGAGCCATGGAGTGAAGGAAGTGCATGGGGTCTGATTCACTCACCCATGCCTTGAGGACCTGCTCTGGTCTGACCTCATCTGTCCCATTGCCATCGCTGATGGGCCATGGTGCACATGTAATTGAAGATGGGCACCTGGGGTCCCTCGGTAACTGTGTTCCCGTGGTCAAAAGGGTCCCACCTGGGGCTCAGCACCAAGGCTTCTAGAAACTAGGTCTCAACAGAACTTATCTTCAGAGGACGGCTCCCAAACTCTAATGCTCAGTCCCGGGACGCCTACAGGAACCTGCTGGAGGCGCCGTACAGAAGCCCATTGGCCAGATTTTCCAGGTCCCCTGGTCCTGCTGGGAAGATGGGATGGAGGAGGACAGCAGCCTGAACACCATGCAGAGCCTCCTCTCTTCTCACTCAGGCCTGCTCATACTGGTGGCCGTACAGGGTAGCAGGATCCAGGGTGGAGGAGCATTCTGAGGGAGCTACACACCACACTCAAATCCCCAGGCTCCAGGTGCCACAGTTTTAAGAGAGGAGGGGCCTGGTGCTGCCGCTGGTGTCTCCTCCTCTGCATGCCCTAAAGCTCCACGGAGATGTCAGGCCCCCTCCACCAGGCCTGGGACTACAAGCCTAGGGAGCTTATCATTTGTCTCATGTCAGGGTCAGTCTGCATGGTGCTGTCGGTGCAGTCTCTATCTTATCTAGACATGTTCTAAGACCCCCAGTGGATACCTGAAATGCCAAACAGTATAGAACTCTGGATATATTACTTTTCTTCCTATCTATCTATCTATCTATCTATCTATCTATCTATCTATATCCACCTATGGTAAAGTATAATTTATAAGCTGGGAGTGGTGGTACATACCTGTGATCCCAGGATTTGGTAGGCTGAGGCAGGAGGGTCACTGTGCCAAGGCCAGCCTAAATTGCATAGTGAGTTCAAGTCCAGCCTAAACTCAAAAAGAAAACAAAAAAAGGAAAGAAGAAGCAGCAAGCTGAGTGTGGTGGTGCACACCTGTAATTCCAGCACTAGGGAGACTGAGGCATCACCTGGAGTTCAAGACAAGCCAAAGCTACATACTGAGTTTAAGACCAACCTGACCTATATAGTGAGATCTTGTCTCAAACCAAAACAGAACAGAACAGAACAAAACAACCAGGCATGTGGCTCAGTGTGAAGACTGTCGCCCCTCTGAAGAAGACAGAAGCAATCCTTCCTTCTTCGTTTCCCTTTTATAGCATTCTGCCTATGGCGGGTCTTCCACACCCAGAACTTTGCTGAGCCAGTTTAGTTGGGTATTACTTATTTAAGTTGACACAATCAATTAGCTGTCATAATCTGCACCTTGTCAATTTGACAACTGGACACATTTCTTTAGACTGTAGTCTCCAGATACAAAGTTCATAATTATGCCTCATGGGTTATAACCATCCTGCATACAAATGGAAACACACTAATTCCCTCCTCAGAATAGAAGGCAAGTTTTCTTTGGGTGATGCTTACTCCTAACCTTTCATAACTTGAAGATTATAACATACGTTTAACACTACTTTAGAATTAATATTACGCCTGTCAACATTCTATTAATTGGAATCATATTAGGAGCAACTATTAGAGTTACAATCCTAGTTGCTGTGACCGTACCTGACCATGTGGTCCAGGAGCCTTTAGGACAGGCTTGTGGGAAGAGTTTGGAAATGTTCACAGATCCCACTGAAAAGCAGCTGTGAATCGATTGAGGAGATTCTGGTCAGAACTCAGAAGACCAGAAGTCTGCTAGAAATGCTGCTGGGAAAGACCAGGCTCAGGAGGTTTCTGCTGGGAAGAAGGACCGCATTGATTGTTGGACTCCAGAATATGTGTGGGGTTTTTTTTCATTTTAAAAATTTTATTGGTACATAATGATAACATTCATCATAGGAGTTTGTACCTGTACATGATATATCTTGCTTCTTTTTTTCCCATTCTCTACCCCTCCCTACCACTGTTCCCCCCTCCCTATTTACAAAAGTTTTGTTTCCATTTTTTCTTTATAGTCTCTTTTTTTCTTGTCCCTTCCTTCCTCCTCCCCCCTGCCTTGTTTCTGTTCTCATTTGAACATTTTCTTCCCATTTCCCAATGTCCATTTGTTCATTTTGGACCTTATTTATACTTTCAATTTCTCACATCAGAGAAACCATGTGATATTTAAACATGTGTCCCATTTATTTTACTTAAGAGTATGGTTTCAAGGTGCCTCCATTTAGCTAGAAATGTCTCAAACTTATCCTTCTTTACTAATCTCTCAGAAGAGATTAGAAGACGCAGAAACAACTCCAAACACACTCAGCCACCCTATCTTTGACAAAGGAGCCAAACACCTTTACAGGAAGATAGCCTCTTTAATAAATAGTGCTGGAAAAATTGGCTTCCACATGCCAAAATTTAAAACTAGACCCATATCTTTTACAATGCACTAAACTAAAATCAAAATAGATCAAAGATGTAAATATTAAAACAGAAACATTAAATCTACTAGCAGA